ATACAAAATAAAAAGAACAGAGGGTGTAGTTCGGTGGCAGAGCAATCTGAGTTCAATCTCTAGTACTGGGGGTATGGAAAGAGGGACCCACAGTGCCTAGGAAAGTCTGGGAAACTTTCACAACCAAGAGGAATTAAAGAAATATGACTGTGAAAACATACTCTGGATGGGATGGGATCCTAGAATGGAAAAAGGACATTAGGGAAAAACTAGAAATATGAATAGAGCATGGACTTAGTAATAATGCAATAATATTGGTTCATTGTGATAAATGAACCACATTGATATGTTTTTAAAAAGGGGGAAACTGGGTGCAAGATAGACAGGAATTCTCACTGGTAATCTTCATAACATTTCTGTAAATCTAACACTGTTCTAAAAACATTTGTTCTTAATGTTTATTTTTTAAAATGAAATACTCATGATGGACTATATACTTATAATTTCACTTAGTGCACCTAGGACACAAATGATGCTAAAATATGATCTCTGCCTTGCAGTCTCACTGTGAGTACACAAATACTCATGAAAGATACAGAAATAAGAAAACAGTAAATGAGAAGTATAGTTAAAAGCGTATTAGAAACACAGAGGAGGAAAAGAGTTGTGAAGGAAGGCTTCAAGGAAGAAAGAAAACTTGAGTTTGTACCTTAAAATGTACTGCAGGGTACCAAAGTAAAAAAGAAGATAAACAGATACACTCATAAGGACAACCAGAAGGGAGATAAAAAAAAGTTAAAAGAGGCTTAATTTAAAAATTTAGCCCTGAAAAATAAAGCCTTAAATGAGAGACATAATAGCAGTGTTCAAATACTTTAAGGGTCACGTGGCTAAAAAATGGTTACATCATATACCCATTTAACTTACAAGCTGACCTCTGGTGAAATGTGCCCACATTCAAGGACAAAGAAAGTGACAGCTGTTCATTACAGCCACAACAGGAAATGCCAATATGGAAAGATAGGAAGCAGGTGGCCAAGTTATTCTCCACAACTTTTCAAAGGATGATGCATATGTGAACCCAATAAAGCAAAAATCTAGATTCAAATCCTGCAAACAGGCCTAGCACACTGTATGTGCCACATCCTTTCCTATATATTAGCTTGTTTAAGATTCACAGTACATCTATAAACATTAATGTAGTAAAGGTTTAATGTAAAAAGAGAATTCGATGCTGCATGCAAGCAGGAACGTATTAGAATTCTTCTCTATCCCCGACTCTCTGAAGAGCAAATAGTTTGTAGGCCTAGATATCTACGTAACTAATTCCCCTTGTTCCTTCCTTTGGTAAAGTACAGTGCCTCTCTCTCAGGCTTTAGTGTGCATAAAAACTATACAGGAACTGGGTGCAGTGGTGCAGGGCTGTAATCCCAGCAACTTGGGAGGCTGAGACAGGAGGATCACAGCTTCAAGGGGAGCCTCAGAAACTCAGTGAGACTCTATGCAACTTAACAAGACTCTTAGTTAAAATAGCAAGAATGGGGGATATAGTTCAGTGGGTTCAATCTCCAGTTCCAAACAAAACCACAAAAAACAAACAAAACAAAGTAAACGCTTTATACAGTTATAAACACAAAAACATGCACACTATTTGAGCAATTTAAGAAATTTTCAAGTACACTTTTCAACTTAAGTGATTTTTGCCCCATGCACTAATTTGAGGACCTATTCCTTCATTCCCCTGGAATGAAGCACCACTCCACTGCAGGCTTACTTGAGACAGAAAAGTCAAATCCTACAAGAAAAATATTCTAACAATTAAGTCTAAAATGAATTTTCTGTCATAAAAGGTGTTCAGAGACTGAAAAATCACAAAGAACATTTTAGGAAAGAAGAACTGGGTGAGAAGATCTCTTTCAAGTCCTGAATTCTAGAAAAGGGTAGAATTTAAAATCCAAAAAGAGGAAAGCTACAAAATAAAAGGCAAGAATGACCTGTTACGTGGGGGAAGCTCAATACTGGGGAACACAGGAACTCATTTCTACAGGTAGAGAAGCTCTTCCATCTTTCAGAGGACCACTCACACCCCTCTGCCTATGAGGCCTCCCTCACTTAGCAACCCTTCCCCACCCCCACCCCCCAGTCACTCACTAGTCACACTGGCTTGTTTAATTTCCTTCATAGCTTCTATCAGGGGTCAGTAAACTTTTTCTATAAAAGGCCAGACTTACATGCAGGCCAAACCAGCTTGGTCCATGTGTGTGAATGAATGGCCTGTAAGCTAAGAATAGTTTTACATATTTAAGAGATTGGGGGAGATTGTTTTAAATGAATATTTCATGATGTGAAAATTATATGAAATTCAAATTTTGTTGTCCAAATTTAATTGGAAAATAGGCATGCTAATTTTTCTACTGCCTAGGCTGCCTCTGCACTCAAAGTTAAACAGCTGCAACAGAAGTTGTATGGCCCACCAAGCCTAAAATATTTACTTTTTTGACTTTCACAAAAGTACTGATTGCTGGCTATATTATTATCTGAGGTGGTCTTCTCTATTTGCTTTTCTATTCCTCATTCTCTCAGAGACACAGAGTAAAGCACAGTGAGGGCAGAGGCCCTTGTCTGTTTTGTTCCCATCCTGAAACTCAATTCTTAGAAAAAAATTCTGGAACAAAATAAGGATTCAATAAATATTTGATGAAAAAAATTAATAAATGGCTTATGGACCTGAGAAGTTTAAACTTCTACCAAACCTAAGGTATAATGTGTCACCACATATTATATTAAGTCTTTAATCATCATAGGTTTTAGGCTGTGAACAAACTCTTAAAGAAAATGGGAAATATTCTACTAGAGAGAGAAATAAAGTAATAATGTTGGTCACCAGCTAGTCCAGGACACTGGGATTCTTCAGGAAATTGTAGACTACAAAGTTGCTCATGAAAGGTCCTCTGAATTAGTGCAAGGTGCCAAACCATTGTCAGCTGACTGGGCTCCTGTTTATCTTAAGACGCAAATACTTAAGAAATGACATCTCCTAAACATAGTACAGAGCATCAACACCATGCCACATCTTAATAAATGCTCATAATTATAGCAGATCTAGATCACACTTGCTAATGAATTTTTGATATCTAAATTTTTCCTATGCTGCTGATCAGCATCTATTCTGTAAGCAGCTGAAAACTCTTTAGAAAATTAAAAGGTTACCGCCCACAGACCAGAAGCAGCTTTTTAATCTTTCTATACTAGCCAGAGAGTGGGTGTGTGATTTCAAAAAAAAAATACAAGCCAACTCTGTTGGTGCAGGACCAGGTACTGTTGAGTTCAAATCCCACCTATAAGCATTGTTTGTTACATGACACTAGTAAAACTACCACCTACTCACAATTTGAGTCTCAATCTTTTGATCTATACAAATGGAGGAAAAAAAAAATGTACCCACCTCCTGGAGGAATTTTATGTCATTAACCTTTTTCACAAGATTCTTTCCTTCAGGCTTTGTGATAATTACTATTCACAGGTCCTTTAAAAAGATAAGGGTTTGGCTTGAGCAATCACTTCCAAAAATTGAAGAGACTGGACAGAAGGTATGTACAAATCCAACTTTTGTTTTATTTTAAAGTAGCCTACTGTTTTTTCAAGATCTGGAATGGTTTAGCTTTTTTTTTTTTTAACAGTAAGCTAAAAAAAAAAAAAAAATCATAAAGATGCTTAGGGCACAGGTACCTCTGACGAGTAAGTCAGACTTCTAGAATCACTTTGGATGGGAGGCCAGGGTCCACTTCTCTAACAAGTCAGGATGGAGGCAGCCTGCAAGCACAAGCTAGGATCTACCAAGCCTCAGGTAGAATGTGTCACCAAAGCAAAAGAGAATTGTCCAAATTGCTCAAGTGGCCAAATGCCTCTAGAGGAACTCGAGCAACAGAATCACATGGTGGATCCTCACCATCCATGCTGTTAAGGGATGAATCCAGCCAGCCCCTGGACCACCAGCACACACACCTTCCCTTAGGCTGCAGAAGCAGGGATGTGCAAGCCACAGAGGGATCTCTGGCCTTTTGGGGGGAGGTGTGACTCACTTCTTCGCCCCCTTCCCTCTTTCTAAAAAAAGGGGTTCACAAAGGGCACCCTGGGGCCAAACCCAACCAGCCGGGACCCACACCCCACTTCGCACCACCCCGTGCTCCCCAGGACGACGGGCTCCCTCCTCCCCGACAAAACAAGTTCCAAATCAAAACAAAAGGCACAGAACTGGTTTCAGGTGGCAACGGCCTGAGCCCCGGTGGCCAACTTCTGGGGACCAAGGCGACCCGGGGCTCCGAGGACCTCAGACCCCCGCCCCCACGGGAGCCGGCTCCCGACCGCTCCGTCCTCGGGCCTCGGCCCCAGTCCTCTCGGCCCCTGCCTCACCTCAGCCCCGGGGCTCAGGAAGGGGGTGCGGTGAGGGGTGGGCGAGGGAGCCCCGGGGCCGACCTGACAGGACACCGAGCCGGGGACAGAAAAGAGGCCCAGGGGTCGAGCCCTAGGCCCGGGGCTTCGACGCGAACCGGGGCGACCGAGGGTCTGAGCCGCGCCAGGCCGCGAGCGGGAGGCCGAGCCCACAGCAGCGGCGGCGGCACCGGGCCCCGCTCCCGCACCGCACTCTTCCCCCCACCCGGCCGAGGGGCCGCCCGTGAGGGGACCGCGGCCGCGACGGGGGCGCTCACTCACCGGCGGGGAGGGGAGGAGCAGCCGGCGTCTCCGCCAGCGCCGTCGCTCGAGCTCAAGCGCCGGCTCCTGCCGCTGCAGCCGCCGCGCCGGGTCCATCCCCCCCAACCACCCCCCTCCCGGCCCTCCCCCCGCGCCGCTACCGCCGCCGCCGCTGCCGCCTTCACCCCGGCGCGGGAGCGCGAACCGGCGCGAGGGAGCGAGAGCGCGCGCGCCACCGCCACCACCGCCGCCGCCGCCCACAGCCTCCGCCCCCGGCCGACGGCGCCTGCGCGGAGGCGCGCGCACGCCGCGAGGGGGCGGAGCCGAGGGCTATATAAGCCGACGCCCCACCCACCCTGGTCCGCCCACCCATGTGGTGCCTCTGGGCGGCTGCAGGTGTGTCGCGGAGCGGTTCCAGGTGAGCGTCTCCCGACCTAAAGCTGCGGGAACCGAGCTCCTGAGGGAGAACCCCATTTCTGGAGAACGACGCCCTTGAGCAGCGCAGTTTTGTGCGGATTTCTGGGTGACGCTCCGGCTCCCGCGTTTCTGCTCCCTACCTTAGCCTCGAAGGCCTTCCTTCCGCCTAGCGGGCTGCTGGGAAAAGGGCAAAGGCTGTTATTTTACATCAGATATAAGAACTTAACTGCTGAAGAAATCGCAAGCAGCCAGCACCAGCCCGTCCTTTGATTTTTTATTTTATTTTATTTTATTTTATTTTATTTATCTGTAGGTGTTGCCCAGGATCGAACCCAGTGCTTCTGTGTGCTAGGCAGGTGCTCTACCCCTGAGCCACAACCCCAGCCCAGCCCAGCCCCTCCTTTTATTATTCCCAATTTCCCCATTTTTTTTTTTTAGGTCATCACTTAGGTATTGAGGTTTCTTCCATGTCGGAGGAGCTGGGAGTCCTTGGCCTCCTGAAGTCTTGAGAGCCGATGGAGAAGGAAAACGTGCATGGGGGAATCAGACAAAATCAAATTTGAAATTAGTAATCCCTCCTCTGAGAGATCTATGGTGCTGGGACAACCTTTATGGGGGAGACTAGTCGAGAAGGTTGGGGCTACAATCCAAAAGCCGAACGGGAAGGGCTAACTTGGTGGGAGGGTGGACAGTATCAACATTGCCAGAAGGGGCGTTGAAAGACCTCCCCGAATGTGGAGCAGACTGAGTGTAGGAAGAAGTAAGTGATTTGGGACTTTGAGAGTTTGAGGAACCCTTTGAGGATTTTTCCAGCATGGTCACAGGGAGTGTAACTTGAACGTTATATCTCTTTTTAAATGATTGCTCAGCAGTGGAGGGTTAAATGGTCTCAGAGTTGGAGCAGGAAGGCCAGTTAGCCAGCCACAGAGTATGTCATCAAGGCAAGAGAGGAGGGCGACAGTAGGGAAGAACTCTATTTAGCAAGTAAAATGGCAGGCTTATGAATGAATGGTGAAGGAGTGAAGGTAGGTAGCAAGATTGACTCCAAGTTGAGGTCATAGGAGATTCATTTATAGATTTCAGAAGCATCGAAGGACACCCCTGAGAAAAGTGACCCCAAATGATTGATCAATCTAAATGTAAAAGCTAAAACTATTAATTTTTAGAAGAAAACACAGAAAAAGTCTGACTTCAAGGTAGGCAAAATTTTTTCTAGCATACAAAAAGCATGAATCATAAATGAGATGATTGACAGATTGAGCTTTTTCAAAATGAAGTTTTGCTCCTGGAAGAACACTATTAAGAAAAGGAATCCAGAGGCTGGCCTGGTGACCCACACCTGACATCCCAGCTACCTGAGAGGCTAGAAGCAAGAGGACTGCAAATCTGAGGCCAGCCTGGGCAAGTTAGCAGCACCTTGTCTCAAATAAACCAGTTAATGAAAGGGCTGGGGATGTAGCTCAATATTAAAACACCCCTGGGACCAATCCTCAGTACTGGAAAAAAAAAAAAAAAAAAAGGCGAATGGAGGTGGGGGGGCTGTAGAAGAGGGGAGGACCAGGAGGAGCACATAGATTTTAAACATGGGAAATTTGGGTTGGGGGTCTAGGTCATTGGTACCACACCTGCTTACCATCCCAGCACCAAAAATACATGAGGGGGGCAGGGCGGGGAGTATGCCCATGCTGTTTTGAAAACATTATCTAAATTGTTCTGATTTGGGTGAGGCAATATTTAGCCTTCAGACATTTACTAATTAATTTTAAGCATATGAAAACTGGAACATTATTTGGCAAAATTTGGTATCATCAAATTAGAATATTTATGCAGAAAACAAACATCACCAAAAAAAAGGAGTACATTTTGTTACTCAGGTTGATATACAAAGCCCATTATAGTAATTAAAATGTTAACAGATTCTGTCAAAGAAATATTTTGGACTAAAGTAAGAAATGGTAAAATTGCTCTTTATTTTAGATGAAGGTATCTAATGCTTGATATGAGCCACTTAGCCTCATATAATAATTATGGTTAGTGATAAAGATTGCTAAACTCTTTTTTTTTTTTTAATAGGAAAAGACATTTGGGGCTGGGATTGTGGCTCAGTGGTAGAGTGCTTGCCTAGCATGCGCCAGGCCCTAGGTTCGATCCTCAGCACCACATAAAAATAAAGGTATTGTGTCCAACTACAACTAAAAAAAAATTAAAAAATAGGAAAAGATATTCAACAAAGATTTACTGGTTAAGAAAAAAACAAGAAAAAATGCTCAATGAAATTAACCAAATGATGTTATGTGCATTTTAAATATGTAATAACATGTCCCACTATTATGTGTAACTATAATGCAACAATAAAATTCTTTTGTTTAAATAAAGCAGGGGACACTAGAGAAGAATAGCCTTACCTTAGATTAGGTAGAGGGAAGTGAGGGGAGGGGAGGGTGATGTGGGGATAGGAAAGATAGTAGAATAAAACAGACATTATTACTTTATGTATATATGTGACTGCATGACCAATGTGATTCTACAACGTGTACATTCAGAAAAATGAGAAATTATATCCCATCTATGTATTAGCATACAAAGTGTATAAATGCATTCTACTGTCATGTATAATAACTAATTAAAACAAAAATAAGGGGGCTGGAGTTGTGGCTCAGTGGTAGAGTGCTCATCTAGCACGCGTGAGGCACTGGGTTCCATCCTCAGCACCACATAAAAATGAAAAAAAGATATCATGTCCACCTACAACTAAAAAAAATATATTAAAAATAATAAAAAATTATTTTGTTTAATGTTCAACATCAAGAATCCCAAGGGAAATGTAATTGAAACCTTAGAAAGATAGCAGTAAATTTAAAGGGCTGGGCTGGGGTTGTGGCTCAGTGGTAGTGAGTTTGGTAGTTTGCCTAACACATGTGAGGCAATGGGTTCAACCGTCAGCACCGCATAAAAATAAATCAACAAAATAAAGGCATTGTGTCCATCTACTACTAAAACAAAAATTTATTTAAAAAAAATTTAAAGGGCTAAATTAAAGATGGACCAGACTAAGTACTGGCAGGGGTGTAGAATTAGAAATTCACACACACTGGTAATGGAAAAACAAAAAGGAACAACTGTTTTAATCACAGTTTAGCAGTTTCTCTTAAAAATTGGGCAGGCATGGGGGCACACACCTGTAATCTCAGTGACTCCGGAGGCTGAGACAGGAGGTTCACAAGTTGGAGGTCAGCCTTAGCAACTTAACAAGACTCTCAGCAGGTAAAGCATCCCTGGATTCAATCCCCAATACCAAAAGGCCAACGAACAAACAAATTAAACATTCAACTACCCTGTGACTTGGACACTACAGTCTGAATTCTTAACAAGAAAAAGGAAACAATAATAAGAAAAAATATATGTTCGGCATGAGCTTTATTTGCAACAAAAACTAACACAAATGTTCAAAATCTGATGAATGAATAAATAAATAGTGGTATGTCCACAGGATAGAATACATTCAGCAATAAAAAGAATGATGTACTTACATAAACTTTGTTGATTAATCTCAAAATAATTACAGAACATGAAGAAAACCAAAAAAAAAAAAAAAAAGCAAACATTTTAAGGATTCTAATCATGCAAAATTATAGAAAGCACAAAACATCTATTGTAAAGAAAAACGAGTGTATAATCTCGCTTCTCTGGGAAGAGAGATTATAAGGCATGGTGGGACATCCTTCTCATCCCAGTTTGTGAGGCCAGGAAGAACACTCGAGGCCAGCCTCAGCAACTTAGCAAGGCCCTAAGTAATTTAGTGAGACCCTGTCTCAAAAATAAAAATAAAAAGGACTGAGGATGTGGCTCAGTGGTTAGTGCCCCTGGTACAAAAAAGAAAAAAAAAACAACTATTGTTAAGCATGAGATGAGAAAATTGAATTGGAACTATCATGCCAGCAAAAATTCAATTACAAAGAGTATGCAGTCCTCTTTGTTATGATAATATTAATAAAGGATACAGATTGTAAAATACCAGCCAAAATTCGACTTTCAAATCTCTCAGTTGGTTAGCTTTGTACTGGCTGGGTATGACGCTTTAAGTAAATCTGATGATTAAGTCAAATGATACACAAAAAGAATTCCATGTACCAAAAAAAAACTTAAACATGCATAATGATCTCAAAAATCTCAGAGTAAGACATTCTCAGGGGGAAAAAAAATTATTGGTCTTGGTGATGCGCCCCTGTAATCCTAGCTCCTCAGGAGGCTGAGTTAGGAGGATTGTAAGTTTGAGGCCAGCCTCAGCAACACAGAGGGACCCTGTGTCAATATAAAAACTAAAGAGGACTGGGGACTCAGTGATAGAGCACTCCTAGGTTCAATCACCAATATGGCCAAAAAAGAAAATTCTTTGAAGAAAAACTAAGTAATGATGCTTACAAAAAATAGATTACTGGGGCTGGGGTTGTGGCTCAGTGGTTAGAGCACTTGCCTAGCACATGGGAGGCACTGGGTTCGATCCTAAGCACCACATAAAAATAAATAAATGAAATAAAGGCATTGTGTCCATCTTCAACTAAAAAAAAAATTTAAATAGATTACTGATTTTAAAACAACTTGTAAAATGTCTTGACTTTCATTTCACTCTCCCTAACATAGAAAACACTAGAAAAAGATTTCAATTGCAACTCTATTATCCCACCTATGATATAAAAACTAAATTTTCAAATCAATTTCTTCTTTATCTACATTAAAAACTGCAATGTAATTTTTTTATGTGTGTGTGGTGCTAGGAATTCAATGCTGGGCAAGTCCTCTACTACTGAGATACATCCCTGGCTCCTACATTATCATTTTTAAAATAAATTACAGAAGCTGGCAATGTAGCTCAGTGGTAGAGCACATTCTTGACATGCAAAAGGTCCTGGATTCAATCCCCAGCAGCCCCACCCCAATCCCACAAAATAGTTTACAATAATGAAAGAAACTAAGGCCTTTTTCGATCTTCTAATATAAAACTTCACTATTCCCAACATGGTTTCTAAGCTGGATGTGGAGGCACATGCCTGTAATTCCCACTATTCAGGAGGTTGAAGCAAGAGGATTGCAAGTTTGAGGCCAGCCTCAGCAACTGAGCAAGGCCCTAAGCAACTCAGCAAGACCTTGTCTCAAAAAACAAAACAAAACAAAAAAAAAACCACAATGTGGTTCCAGGACCAGCAACATTAGCATCATCTAGAAATGGGGCAAACTCTCTGTCCCCTTCCAGATTGGCTTCAAAGTCTTCCGGGACATAACTTGGTAGCTGAGTGCTTTTGTGGTGTGTGTGAGGCTCTGGGGTTCCAACCCCAGCACTGCAGGAAAAAAGACAGGCAGGCAGAAAGAAAGGAAGGAGGGAGAAATGTAGCTTCACAAAATTAAAATTCAGTAGAAACTAATTAAGATTTAGAGTGACCAAAAAAGACTGTTATATCTACTGACCATGATACAGAGAACCCAGTGACTCAGGAGGCTGAGGCAGGAGGATCAAAAGTTCAAGGCCAGCCTCAGCAGCTTAGTGAAACCCTAAGCAACTTAGCAAGACCCTGTCTCAAAATAAAAAAGGGCTAGGGATATGGCTCAATGGTAAAGCACCCCTGGGTTCAATCCCCAGGACCCAGACCCAAAGAATTTATTTCCATGTCAGCAAGACAAATAACTGTTAGATAACAAATCATCATATGCTAAGTGACTTCTAATTTCTAATTATTTTACTAGTTTATCTCTCTCACCTCAGGGCCTTTGCTTCAGCTGTTTCCTGGGTCTGTATAACTTTCTGTCCAACAGAGGTGACCTTTTGGTGCTCAGCTTAAATGTCATTTCATTGGGGAAGTCTTCCCTCACCCCACAGCAAAGGTCAGCTTCTCCCATGATGCACTTTCAAAACATCCTGAACTTCTGTTTTCTTATCCCCATAAGCATGAAACTTCCCCTTAAATCTCTTCCTTCTTCTCTGGACAGTGAACTCCTTGAGTGCAGGGACTTTATCTCTGCCATTCTGAATCCACTGACCCTTCATATACCTTTAGGGGCTCCATAAATATTTTTGAAATTCATAAATGAACAAATGATAATTTTATTCTTATTAAATGAAATATAACCTGATTGAACCCAAAATGCATGCTGTACCACGGAGCCACATACCCAGCCCCTCTTATTTTTTGAGACAGGGTCTCGCCATTTTGCTGAGGCTGGCCTTGAACTTGTGATCCTCCTGCCTCAGCCTCCTGATTCACAGAAATTAACAGGCCTGTGTCACAGCACCAAGCAGATGAGACCTCCTGCCTCTCAGGCACAGGTATGAATTGGAAAACTACAAGCAGTAAGTGAATATATACATGTAAAGGACTTGGATACCTATTGTTGCAAGAGTATCATGCAAATCAAGAGTATTGGGGACAATATTAGATTTGGCAGCACACACTTGTAATGCCAGCTACTCAGGAGACTCAGGCAGGAAGATCACAATTTCCAGACCAGCCTGGGCAACTTAGCAAGACTCTGTCTAAATAAAATAAAATAAGGGTGGTGATGTAGCTCAGTGATAGAGCACCTACCTAGCCCTCAGGAGGCCCTGGATCCATTCCTCAGTATTGAAAAAAAAAAGGTGGGGGGAACCCTCAATATTTTTTTGAGTGGGAGAAAGTAGACACAATGTGTGATTCCATGAAGTTCAAGGACAGGCAGAACTCACAAATGAGAACCAGGTTTGATGGCACAGACCTGTAATCCCAGCAGCTCAGGAGGTTCAGGCAGGAAGATCACAAATTCGAGGCCAGCCTCAGCAACTTAGCCAGGACCTGTCTCAAAATAAAACATAAAAAGGGCTGGAGATGTGGCTCAGTGATTAAGCACCCCTGGGCTCAGTCCCCAGTACCACCACAACACCACCAAACTACCAGGAAAATGGAGGTAGATCAGATTAGTAAGGGGTGACTGCAAGGGGTCAAAGGAGTTGAGGTGCATTGTGGTTATACGGCCCAGTGTGTACATAGAAATACATCTGAAATACGTGTGCATGCTGCTGTGCTGATACACACCTACACCCGGAAACCCAAGTACTCAGGAGGCTGAGGCAGGAGGATAAGGCATTTTATTGAGACCCTGTCTCAAAATTTGAAAAAAAAAATAAATAAAAATAAAAAACATCAA